GGAGGAAATTTGAGTGGCGTWCTTCGAGCTGTGCCTTCTGAGYCAGGCCTGGAACTTGAGGAACATTTTKRYCATTTGRCCATTTCTGCACCACTGTCCTCRAAACCCTGTTTCTGAGCCCTCAGATATAGTTCGATCKTRGTGWTTACTGCTKTTGATAAACAATAGTTGGTYCTAAGAKTTRYGGAAATTTAARTAAATTTAATGCGATACTTTCGTTTTACTGAAGCCTGAAACTTGGGRAAYKTTTTTWGYACTTTGYMATTTTKGATWGCGGTCCTTCGAACGGTTTTTTTTCTGAGMGCCTAAATGCCATATTGAAATGCTGCTTCCGTTTTCAATAGCCGAAGCTTCGCTATATAAATGTGGCAAATTTCCATGAATTTTATCAAAAAGTTGCGTTTTACTCGAATCTCAAACTTGGGTATCTTTTTAGTATTTTAGCACTTTGCCTTTCCAAGTGCTGTTTTTAAGCTCTCAGATGAGATATCAGCACAGGAAATCTAGTTTTCAATTGGCAAAGCTTTGTGTTATAAGTGGAGGAAATTTGAGTGACGTGCTTCGAGCTGTGCCTTCTGAGCGAAGCCTGGAACTTGGGGAACATTTTTGGAATTTGGCCATTTCTGAACCAGTATCCCCGAAACCCTGTTTCTGAGCACTCAGATATAGTTCGACCCTAATGATTACTGCGTTCGATAAGCGAAGCCCTGTTCTAAGAGTGTTGGAAATTTAAATACAGTTTATGGGACCCTTTCGTTTTGCTGAAGCTAGGAACTTGGGGAATATTTTTCTCAGTTGCTCATTTCTGCACCACTGTCCTTGAAACGGTGTTTCTGAGCACTCATCTGAAGCATCAACCTACTAATTTGTATGTTCGATAAACAAAGCCCTGTTCTAAGAGTGTTGGGAATTTAAATAGTTTTCATGGGACGCTTTAGTCTTACTTAAGCCTGGGACTTAGGAAACTAGTTAAGAGCGTCGTTGGTTCTTCAGCTGTTTGTGCCAAACACTCGGAGCAGATATCTGCAACATTATTGCAAATCTGCATACAAAAACACTCATTTTTCCAGAGTGACAACTTTGAACTGATTTGGCCCAGCAGTTTTGGACCAATTACATACGCCTGGAAACACGAGGTTTTTTTCGTTTCTTTTGCGATCCAGTTCAGACAAACACAACGAATTTGAGCTGAATGAATTTGTCAGAAGAATCTTCCATTTCCACACTCTAAATCACCTTTGTCTCGTCGCCGATACCCAGCTGATAGCAGCTGAGTCCCCGATTAGACTGACGCTAAATGAAACTGTCACCCCCCATACAAACCCTGGATATTCCTTTCCAGTCGTGCCTGCAGGAGTTCCATTAGTCACCGTGGATAAAACCGGGCTGGAACAGGGCAGACCGCTTATAGCCGACTGTCATGCCCCGCCCTCCCATCCAGCTGCCAATATTACCTTCTTTGTGAACGATGAAAAGGTAAGAAGTTTTCGATTATCCATCCAGACGCTGACAAACTACTTTGCGTTCGAGCGCGGCAATCGAAACACGACATTTTCCAGTTTAGATTGGCTGGATGAATGCAATTAGATGCGATTTTTAGGTTCCAGGCTACACTTCGGAATGGACTACCAGTGGCAGCGACCAGCTGGATCAAAAGAGCGCCCGACTGGAGCTGACTGGAGTGGGAGGGAGTTGGGATCCGCTCCGAATCACATGCGAAGCCTCCTTGTTCAAGCTCTACCACGCAAAGAGCGTGGAGGTGCAAGTGAGGCCCGATACTCCTCAGCCTGCCTCAGTGCTTCTAATGGAGACCAGCTCGAACAGTAAATCGCGAATTGATCCAGGAAAAGTTGCCTGCTAGTTGATGACTAACTCATTTTCAGGTGCTGCAGAAGCCCACTTTCCTGCGCAGGTTTTTCCCATTATTGGGCTTGTCTGGACCATTAACTCTAGAGCACTTATTTAGGTAAACTCCATTAGTATTTTTCTTGAAGTCATTTCAATTTACTTCGAACACTTCAGTCGAGCGGCAGTTTATTTAGTCCGGCACACCGGGCTGGTCGGGGTATGTCCGTCTTTCTCCCGCTCATAGTTAGAAACCCAGGCGATGTTCACCGATGTCGAACGCTCACCTTCCAAAATACACTGCTCCCAGTTTGTAACCAATTTTCTTTCTCTATTGTTCCAGGTGGATTTGGCAGAGGGCGTACCGACTAGACTGTGATACTAAACGATAAGCATGTTTAATTGAATAAAGCCGCATTTATTAAAGAGTTTCACTTCCTTAAGCCTTCGGGCGGTTAAGTTGGGTATGTGGTGCATCCTGTCCGAGCCGGTTTCGCGTTTTTACGGCAACCCCCAATGAAGGCCCTTCGGGCCGGGATTAATTGCACACATTTTTTGGATGAAATGGCCCATTTTGCTGTTCTGCATGATGGAGAATGCCAGTCCAAAGCAAACAACGAGCGCATTTGTCCATTAAAGCCCATCTCGATTTCTGAAATGAATTTTATGCAGATCCAAATATAAATAGCGACGGAATCTGCAAGAGGCAAATTGATGAAATATTTATGAATTTCATTTGTTTTATAAGCATGCTTAATGCATTTCCCGTGTGGAAATGCCGTTGGGAATTTTAATTGGTTTGGCGTTGTTGCATCGAATCTGGCGAATAAGATCGCATCAAACTGAAGGAAATTAATTGAAAACAGAAAAAATGCGTGGATTTTCCAGCAGCAATTTTCCATTTCCCTTTTGGGATTTATTGAATGCGTTATTGCAATTATCGCTAATAAATATTGTTTCAAGCAGATAACTCCATAAACGGGGATATAAAATATTAATCCCCAGGAGCGTAATCCGCTGGAATATTTAATAATCAAATTAGCTGCGTTTAGTTTGATTAAACTAACAGTTGAACATTCCGGGGGCAAAAAACTAAACTGTTGCCAAATTGGGCTCAGTTTCGTCACTCTTGCAAAACGACTCTCGCATAGTAAAATCATGTAAATTCAGAAAATTCCCATCTGATCCAGCCCGAAACCCGATTAAATTTAATTGTGGGATAAAATCAATGTTGCGGGGGTTTATTCGGGGGATTTATCGCTCTAAATCGGCCCTGGTGCTCGGTTTGGGGCCGATTAACAAACATGTAGACTCGATTTTAGGAGGTTCGTGGCATAAGCAGACAAAAAACCGATTTGTCATTACCGCCATACCGTGCAGGTTTTATCAACATTTTTTGGACACTCTGTGGCTTTAACTGGTCAACCGGTCATATCTTTTCAAGCTTAGCATTTATTGGTCAATAACCACTAGAATTGTTGCGGAATATTTTCAAGTTTAGCAGTGAAAATATGTTTAACATTTTTTTAAAATGCAATGATGGTGTTTTCAATCAAAATATCGCAAATGTTTGCATGTTTTTTCGTTCGAACGAAAATATTGAAAATATTCCGCAAAAATTCTAGTGGTTATTGGCCAATAAATCGGGGAAGTGTCAAAACGAAAAAATGATCAAAAATTCACTATTTGGTCTTCTGTCTTTTTAGAGGTTAGGAATTTTTGACAAAACCGAGCGGCACAATATTGCCTGAAGACGCGCCATCGAAAACGTTCTTATGACTACTTAACAATTTGCAACACTTTAACAGATATGAATGAAAATGTTCAACAATTTACTGTTTTGTCTTCTGGATGTTAAGAGGTTAGGAATTTTTGAGAAACCCTAATGGCGAAAGATAGCTCTCAAGACGTCCTATCTAAACGGTTCTTATGACTACTTAACAATTAGCAACCGTTTAAGAGATATGAATGAAAATGTTCAAAGATTCACTATTTTTTCTTCTGACATTTTTGAGGTTAGGAATTTTTGACAACACCTAATCGCAGAAGATAGCTCTGAAGAACCTCTATCGAAAGGGTTCGTATAATTACTCATCAAATGGCAACCGTTTAGGAGCTACGAATCAAAATGTTCAAAGATTCACTATTTTTTCTTCTGCCTTTTTCGCATGCTTTTTCGTTCGAGCGAAAAAGCATGCAAACATTTGCGAGATTTCGATTGAAAACACTATCATTGCATTAAAAAAAAAATTAAACATATTTTCACTGCTAAACTTGAAAATATTCCTCAACAATTCTAGTGGTTATTGGCCAATAAATCGGGGAAAAGTGTCAAAACGAAAAAATGCCCAATCCAGCCGAATTTCCATCTCCAATAAGTCCCCACCCTTAAAAACCACCCTGTATTCACCTCATTATTCATATAATTCACCCTGATGGATGACTGATGATAATCGCGCTAACGAGCCCTCAATCTAATTGAACCAAACCTAAACAAACCCTCAAAGCCATGCAGCTCGTTCGGGTATACGTGAGGTTCTTAGCCGACTCCCTCCTCTTCTTGCGCCCTTTGGAGGGTTCCGGTTCCAAGTCCAAAGGCAGCGCCCTCTACAGGAATGCCCTCATTTTCTACACAGTGGCGCTGCTAGCGGCCAGAGGCGTCAGCATGCACTTTTTTTTGAAGGTCTCCCCTTTGGAGACCACAGTGGTCTGGCTGGGGCACTTCACCACCTATCTCGCTCTTGCGGCCAATGCTCTCATCACCTCCAACCTCATCAGGAAGGCGGATCAGTTGAGCCGGCTTCAGAAGATTCTGAGCAATTTGCAGGTGAATGTTCACAGCAACAGCTACTGGTACGAGTTGAGCCTGCTGCTCAATATTATACGTGCTGTCGCAGCCGTCTCCCTTTTTGCGCAAGACGGCTATGGGTACGGAAAAGTGACATCTGTCAGCTACCAGATTGCGCGCGTCCGCATCGAAATGAGCATCGCGCAACTGGGCTGCGCCATTCGCTACTTGACTTCTGTGTTTGACGCAGTCAATCAAAACCTCCGT